ATCTCATCCCATGATGTCATCAGACTCAAGCTTGAGGGTCAAGATCTCACGGAGGCCAGGTCCAAGTGCAAATGAGATTCTCTGCACAGTTTCCTGATTACAAACCCTTGACTGACGTTCTTGATCTGAAAGCCTCTGAAGAGGCAGATACTTTCCCACCCTCCACAGTGAGGCCTGGGGTAATCTTTGCATTCCAAGAGAAGGAAACCAGGAGGTACATGGAAGTCACAGATCCAGAGCAATTATCTTTTTCTATTTTTTCCCCTATGAGATCATTTTTATTCCTGTAACTTCAAATACCATTTATGGCTTCCAAATTCTTTGAGCATCACATTACTAGAATGTCCACTTGACCACTTTATACCTTTATTAAAATATTTCATGATATTTCCAACTTAATATTTTAAAGTTAACTTTTATCCCATTTCCTCTACTAGCCTGTTTCCCCCATCTTTGTAGATGGTTCTAGTGGTTCACTGAGTTGCTCAGACCAAATTCCAGGGCTCAGTTCTCTATCTCCCTCCTCCCTCCCCTTCATCCCTTTCTCTCCCATCATTATATCCAGTAAACAACCAAATTCTGTATTATTTTTCTGCAAAATATGTTCACTTTTTCTTCTCACCTGGACTACAACAAAGTCCTTGCTTGTCATGCCCCTTCATTCTTGATCACCTCTAATTTCCTTTGACACAGCAGTCAAAATAGTGTTTCATTCGTATGTGCAGCTGTGACGCCCTTACTCAACACTCTGTGAATTCTCGTTACCGTCTGAGTAAAATCCAAATCCTGGTCCACAGTGCCCATGTAACTGGCCTTGCTCATGTCTCCGACCTTATTCCTGATGCCCTGCCCCTTACCCTATGCTTATCTTCTCTGGACTCACAGTTCCTCCAGGTACCAACCTCTCATACAAGGTCTGTCTGAGGCACTCTCTCCTGACTTAGCTCGGCCACATAACTCAGTCTTTAGCGATCAGTATGGCATTCCTGTCGTAAGTAGGTACCACCTGTCTATTATTCGGTCACTATTCTTTTTACTTCTTTCTTCTGTCTCCCTACCTGGATTGTGGGTCCCTCTAGGTGAGGGGCCATCTCTGTCATTCACTAATATGTATACAGTACTTATATAGTATGCGTTCAATAAATACCATTTTAAGGTATAATTATATTGAGATAATGTAATTATTAATAATGATAAATGTATTACTTCCTAATGTTTACTAAACATAGTCTTTTATCTTGTTCTTTCAGTAACTGTCCTTCCTTTTTGGCTGCGGCTTTGGCCAGAGCCACCTCAGATGAAGTCCTTCAGAGTGATCTTTCTGCACATTACATCCCAAAGGAGACGGAGGGCACAGAAGGGACTGTGGGTATGTACCTTTCTACACTGTTGACAAATACTAAAACATTCTTAAATGTAGTGGTCCATAGAAAATATCTGTACAATTCTAAATGTAACTATATTTACTCAGCAGTTGATTATATAGTAGTAGGGGAAAAATAATTTTTTCCCGATAGATCAATAAGAGAGAAGAGATAAAATATGAATGTATTTTGAAAAGTAATACTATATATAGAAGGCCATTAGGACAACAGGAAATTGTCATGAGTAATACCTAGACAAATGAAAAAAAAATAGAGTGGACTATGACTACTCAGCAAAGGAGATCAGTGGGTGAGTGTAGGGCAGTTGAGCACATCTATTTAGAACTTTTAGCTTACCTTTACAGATCCAAGTAAAAAGTCAGATGTAAAAATAAGAAAATTTAATAAACCTTAATTATATTAACTTCTGTATCTAGCACTAAATAGAGCTTTTTATGACATATGGAATATGTGGTTTAGTTGCATGGATCATTGCACATCTTATTTTGCCAAGATAATTATGAGATCCTCTTTCTCATTCCTTTCTTTTCTCTCCTTCCTCCTCCCTCTCACCCCTCATACTGGAGAGCAGACCTAGGGCCTTGCACATGCTAGGCAAGTGTCCTACCGCAGAGGTACAGTCCAGCCCTTTTTATCTTCAGACTCACTGTTACCAGGCTGGCCCCAAGCTTTTTTTTTTTTTTTTTTTTTTGGTACCAGGCACTGAACTCAGGACCTTGTACTTGCCAGGCAGGCACTTATGCCACTGAGCTATATCCCCGACCCCATGGCCCTCAGCTTTTAATACTCCTGCCTCAGCCTTTCAAGTAGCTGGGTACACAGACAGGCACCACCACACTGGTGAGTGACTCAGTTTCTTGAAGAACACATATTTATTTTAGTTTTTTTGAGGGTATGAGCAGAATATATTTATTGAGGGAAAGAAAGCTCCTGTCCGAGAGAGGGACAGAAGGAGGGGGGCCCGAGTGGGTTGTCTCCCACATATTTATTAATGCATTAGGTTTTTACAGATTTTATAAGACTTAAACATTTACAAAAAATCAGCCCCCCTTGGTGCTGGGGATCAAATCCAGAGCCACTTGTATGCTAAGCAGGTACTCTACCATTGAGCTACATTCCTACCCCACTAGCTACAAATTTTTTTCTTTTTTTTTTTTTGCGGAACCGGGGATTGAACTCAGGCCCTTGTGCTTGCCAGGGAAACGCATATTCCACTGAGCCATCTCCCTGGCCCCACTAGCTAGAAATTTTAAAGAACTTGTCAATTAGTTCTATTTAAAGCATTTACCTATACACATGGTACATAAGGAATGCAGCATATATTAATGAATTAGAATAGCTAAATTCCAGAGAATGTGAGGGAGATATAAAAATAAGCACTTCCACTCTAGATTCTTTTTAGATTTTTATCTTTCTAGATTTTGACAGAAAATTGTCAAGGAAGGAGTTATTCTGTTTTTACTGAGAATAATTTATTCACCTGGAACTGAACTGTTCCAGAGTGAAGTTGGATAGAATCCCTGCTACAAAACATTGGTCTTTCCTCTAGAGCTGACGCATGTACTGGAAAGACGAGATTAAACTCTGCCTGCCTGCAGCCAGGGTGACGGCTGACTCAGCTCCAGCTCAGTGAGATGGCATTAACGACTGATGAGTAATGTACAGCTGCGAGGGGCGGGCTGCTCCTGGGGCAGCAGCTTTCGCTTCTTCACACCCCCCTTTTTATTTCTCCATTTCATGTGGCAATTATTTCTATACTGATGCGCCCCCCTCCTCACACTCACCACAGGAGAATAGTTAATGTAGCAAGATCAAAGTGCTCCCCTTTGTGCCCAGGTTGGGATTTTCTGAACCCCATAAGGTAGCAAATGTGAAATGAAGGGTTTTTGTTTAAATAGATATCATTGATCATTCTTTTTTTTTAAAAAATGTATTTGATACAGGGTCTCACTGTGCAGCTTAGACTGATAGTGATCCTCCTGTTTTCAGCCTCCCCAATGCTGGGATTACAGGCGTGCACCTCCACATCTGGTCTATCATTGATCATTCTGATTTTATATTTTTCCAAGAGATTACTCAGTAATGTCTTCATGCTTTTGCCATGATTCAGACTATACTAAAAATTCTAATCTATTTTCAAATCTTTACCTTTTTTTTGATGGCATCAGGGAGCGAACTCAGGACCTTGTGCTTGCCACACAAGCACTTATTCCACTGAGCTATCTCCCCAGCCCTTCAAATCTTTATCTACTTGGTCCAAATGATTGCATGTGAACTGCACTTAAGAATCTCTACAGGGAATATATTGTGTATCTGTACATCAGAGTACTGAGCACACCAAATAAGGCCTGTAGTCATTGGCTTAAAGGCCCTGAATTTCCCACACAAATGCCTTTTTATCCCTCCTACTTAGTTGTTTCCAAAAATAGACTTTAAGGGAAAAAAACTCTTTCTTTCTGGGTCTATGTTATTCCTAAGAGAATATTTACTAAGTGACCTTGTAAATCTGACTTGGTACAAATTTTATTAGATAAACTATCCAAACAACCTAAAACTGATTTGAAATACTGAATGAAAACTGAAAACAAGGGAGCCGAAGCATCATGGTGATGCAGACTTATAATTCAGTTCTCTGGGAGGCTGAGATAGGAGGACTGCATGTTCAAACCCAGCTTATACAATTTAGTGAGACCATGTATCAAAATTTTGACAAAGTAAAATGTGGTTGGGAATGTAGCTCAGTGAAGAGGTCCTGGGTTCAATCCCCAAAGCCACACACACATACACATCCCCCAAAGAAAACCAACTAAACAAAATACCCAAGAAAGGAAAATTATCACCAACATAAAGAAATTAAAACAATTATATTTAAAAAAGTGTTTTAAAAAATTGAAAACCTGGGTATTTCTAGAAAAATATAGTTTACGTAAGAAAAGATTATAAAAACAAAAGCACATGGAGTAGAGATAATTCCAATACTTTTATAATGAATGTTTTAATTGCACAAAAAGAATTTACATAACACACCAAAAGCTTAAGAGAAGATGAGACAGCACATGCTTGCAGTCCCGGCACCCTGGGACAAGAGAATCATGAGTTTGAGGTCAGCGTGGGCGGTTTAGCAACTCATGGAGACCCTGTATCCCCCTGTCTTAGTTACTGTTCTCTTGTTGCTGGGACAAATACCCGACACTCAAAATGAAGGAAGGAAAGGTTTATTTAGTTCACAGTTACTGGAGGTTTCTGTCCATATTCATCTGGGTCCAACACAGAGCAGCACATGGCAGAGGGCAACCTTTCATGGCAGCAGCAAAGAGCAAGAGCGCAAGGGAGGGGTAGCAGCAGCTCAAGCAGCTAGCTTCTCTTCCCTCCTTACATTGTAATGCAAATTAACTGCCCCAGGGCAAGTGCAGCATCCTCACCCACAATAATCAATCACAAACTCCAGAAGCTGCCCCAAGACTGGGTGAGGCTTTGTGGGGACAACTATACATACACAAACCATAACACCTCCCAATCAAAAAAAGGAAAGAAAGAAAGAAAGAAAGAAAGAAAGAAAGAAAGAAAAAAGGCTACCATGTATACTTCTGAGTGTTTCATGTATCTACAAGTGATCATAAACACAGCTCAATTTGGCTTCAGCAAAACATGATTTGCTGGAATCCCAGCACTTGGGGAGGCTGAGGTAGGAGGATTGCTGGCCAGCCTGAATTGCATAGTAAAACCCTGTCTCAGATAGATAAAACAAAAACCAAAAACAAATCCCCCAAAACAAAAAAGGATTTAACTGGCAACCCTCTGAGGTAAGGGCCACACAGCTACCTTGAAATGCTGGCATTTCTACAATGCTCAGCTGTACTGGCTTTCATTCAATTTGATTGCCAGGCTTGGTGTGATGACGAGATGACTGCTAGGAGCCTGAGGCCCTCATTTGCCCAAATTCAAATCGAGCAGAACAAGGTAGCTCTTCTCAGTTGCTCTTCCTTATATCACTCCCAGGATTCATTCCAGTTGGCCAAATGTGGAGAGTTTTCCATTGCTGACCCATTCACTGTGACAGAGGAATGGGATTCTCTAGCTGGTTGGTTGGATCGGAATCACACCTGCCTTTAAAACTACTTTTTTAAAAAAGTAGTTTTCTAGATAGCAAATAACACATTAAAGCAAAGTTTTGATTGAAAACAAGTGTGTAAAATGATCAGGAAACATGAAGAAAAATGTGTGATGGTGTGTTCCTGTAATCCTGTCTAAACAGTACAATGCTGAAGCAGGTTTGAGGGCATCCTGAACACTGCAGAGAGGCCCATATCAAAAAAATAAGAAAAACTTGGGCTGGGAGTGGGGCTCAGTGGTAGAGGACTGGCCTAGCCTGTTTGCTCATAGACCTGGGTCCCATGCCCAGCTCTGCAAGGTATAGAGAAAGGAGAAAAAAGAGAAAAATGATTTTGTCTATTTATGAGCTATTCTAGACACAGAATACAGCAAACACTCATGTTACAAAATGTGGTTGTCACAATAGATGCAGTGAACAAAAGTGGGGGCACAAGGAAACGAATGAGAGAGGGAATTCAGAAAGATCTTTTGGAGGACACTGGTACTGGTTCTCCGGACCAACCTAATGGCTGTCGGCTCTGTCCAGCAAACTGTGCAGCAATGTAAATGTTCCCTAAGTGTGTCGCTCTGTGTGGTAACCACTGAGATACAGGTAATGTGATCCACAAGCTGAACTTGAAATTTATTTAATTTATTATATCTGGTGGTAGGCAGTAGCTATCTTCTTGGATGGTGCAGGTCTCTATAGTAAGGATAATACATAAGCCAAAAATGATATAATGGTTTACATTATTATCTGGGAATCTGGAAACTATCCTGTTAATATCAGCTTCCTCCCCTCCGCATCTGATTCTCCCTCAGAGTTTCTGAATTCACTTGTTTTGTAATCTTCAGATGTGAGGAGTCAAATGCAGACACATCTGAGGGGGTGCATTCCGGAGCCTCCCCTGCTGCAGACACCAAGTTGGGTACAGTGGTTCAAGTAGGTGACTGTAGGATGAAGAAAGTCTCTAGGCTGGGGTGTAGTTCATTGGTATGCATGAGGCTCTGGATTCATGCCTTAGCGCTGACAAAACAAAGCCTGTGGTAACTGGGGCTCAAAACAGCTGAAAGACTGGGTTAGACAACCCAGTAGTCTCAGCTGAGCTATTTTCTTCTTATATATACCTGGGGCTGAATCTGTTCTTTAAGCTTCATTTCTCATTCAAGTGTCCCCTTGATTTCAGTTACATAAAATTAATGGGGACAAAGCCATTCAACAGGATTTACCACCCTGTACTGTGTTATCAAGGAAAGAAAGAAAACTTGTGATCGGCTTTCTTATATAGTCATTTAAAAGAGAATTCTGCATAAGAAACAGGTAAATGTAGTCACAGATTTAAGGCAAAGACAGGACAGGAAATAAAAACTGAGTGTCCAAGTTCCCGGGCTGTTCAGGAACATATAGTCTCTCTTCTTTGGAGCTGTGTTCTTGATTGGAGGAGGCATCTGTAGCCATGCCCATCTGGCACATATTTTCTCAGGCTGTCAAGCTATATCTGACTTAGCAAAGTAAAACAATTTTTTGAGTTTTTTCTTTTTAACCTGAAATGCAGGAGGAGCCTCTAAAACACTGGCCTCAGTAAACCTTACCTTCCTAGGGTTATTTCAGTACTTCCAACGTGACAACTTAAGTAGAATCTCTTCCTCAGCCCAGTGTTGCTTAAGAGGCCTATACACTGCTGTGTCTGTTGAGGGGTGCAGATCTGCCTCAGAAACCAGCCAGACTGTGCGCCCTCAGAGGGGTCTAATAAATAATACTCGTGTGGTGAAGAATCCTGTTACTATGGCTTCTTTAATTGCTATCTTTTTTTTTTTTTTTAAATCTAGAGTAGCACACAAAGAATTTAATTTTTTCATAGAGAAATATAAAAATTTTAACTTATTAGTTAACATATTGGCTAATCTGTTATCTAAAGCCTTAATAAATACATCAAATAGAAAACATGCAACTCAGTTCCAAATGATGATCATTTAGAGGAGAAAGAAAAGTTAGGAAACTGTAAAAGAAGAGGTCAGAAAGAAAGAAGGAAGGGGGGTGGGAAATGCTCAGTGGAATAAATGCTTGCGTGGCAAGTGCAAGGGCCTGAGTTCAATCCCTGATTCCACCAAAAAAAAAAAAAAAAAGAAAGAAAGAAACAAAAAGAAGGGACACACACAAGTGATAATCAAGGTAAACATTCCTGTAGTTCATAAGCTGTTTTCATAGGCCTTTTGTAATTCCAATTAGCTAGATAACTGGTGTTCCTTCATCTTTCATTCTGCTAAGCCTAGTCAACTTGGCCCTCTGGACAGTAACTGAAAAGGGAAAAGGAACAGGAGCTTCGAACTCTCCAGCAGGTCCCAGAGCACTTCTCCAGTCTGAGGACAGCAAACCTTGGGTTAGGTCTGGTCCTGGCCCGAGGTTTTCTCCTCATGACATAAGGGTATCTTTATGGCAACTGGGGATGATAATTTTCTACTAGAGAGGCTGTCATTTTCTCTCTTTAGAAGCAGCATTTCATTTTTCTTGAGGAGGGCAAATTTCTTCTTTTGGGGAGGAACTTGAGTAAGGTGACCTACTTCTGTCTTTACTAAGGAGGCGAGTGAAAAGCAGTTTTACAAGGCTCTTTATTGGGGGTTTCTGTGTTTCTTTCACAGAGATTGAGACAGTGAAATTGGCCCGTTCTGTCTTCAGCAAACTGCACGAGATTTGCTGCAGCTGGGTGAAAGACTTCCCTCTCCGCAGGAGACCCCAGCTTTATTATGAGACATCAATCCATGCCATCAAAAACATGCGCAGGAAAATGGAGGACAAACATGTCTGCATTCCTGACTTTAATATGCTCTTCAACCTAGAGGTAAAGGGCACTTCTGGAGAGCCGATGAAATTTAACACACACTTTCACTGTCCTGCTTGAAAAGGACAGCTACGTATTTCTAATAGCATCCTGAATAAGTTACCGAAGGGCTGAGTGCACAGTGGCACAAATTTGCTTGTATTAGACTACAGAAAAAGAACTATTTGATGTTATTTTGAGTAAGTTCAGATAAAAAACTGGGACCATTATGTTATTTTAATAGGTTCATAAGTTTCAAAATTGCAAATGTAAACATCTCTGTCACCCAGATACTCCGTTCTCTTCCATGAAAGCACGAGAACGAGTTTTTTGTAAAAGCTTTTAGAGCTGTTCTATAAACATATAAGCAATGAACTGTTAGATTTCAAAAAGACTGTTTTGTAAAGGAAAGTATTTCTATAGTATAATTAAATGGTGTTTATTAAGACCCTACATCACAAAACACAAACATAAAAAGAATACATTTAAGGCTGAAACAGTTTTTTTTTTAATTTCATGTGATTTTAAAATTTTGGTGCCTATGACAGGAAAGTGGTTGGAATTATATTTCTATGAATCTTTGTGACTGACAAATTGGATCCATATAAGCCTTGTCAGCTTAATAACCATTTTCTTGATATCTTCCTTTCCTTTTCTATTAAATGTATTATGTTCATGCAAACAGAGGTAGGTTTGTTTCCTTCACCTGTCACTTGCCTCTTCACTGAAGTCCATAACTTAAAAATTACAATGTAGCAATTTATACAAATCACAATATTTCCTTAATGTAGCAGCTGAATTTAACTTTTAGCTGTCAAGGTTTAATCAGTGATGATAGGTTGGTAATTGGTGCCTATAAAAATACTACCTGATATCTTTGTTTCCAACACCATGCCCATGCAAAGCTAACTCAAAGGCTACGTGACAACCAACCTTGTACTGATTCACTTATTTGATATACTAAGATTTGAGGGCTTTATTGCTAGCTTAACTTGGTTTTTAGTTTGCCTTCAAATTAAATGCTGTCCAGGTCCCACTGCCAAGAATGTGTTGTCTGAAATGCCTGTTTAGTTTTTAAAGATAGAACTCCACCCTCTAGTTGGTTTTAAAAGTATGTATGGAATTTTATGATAAGATAGAGCCATAGTGGTGGTCAGACATGGAGAAGATGGGGAGACAAAAATATACATGTGAAATAAACTCAATATTTTAATAAAGTAAAAAAAAAATTAGCCCAGAGGCCTAACTCATAAAGGAGTACATTAGAGAATTTAGCAACAAATATTTACGTTTGTGAATTTTCATTCCTTTTAGTGAGGAATATTTAGAAGTTTTGTAAATGTTCATACCTTTTGCTCTGATATTTTAATTCTTAAGAAAAAAGTGCTGTGGGTGGTGAGATAACTCAGCGGACTAAGCGCCTACTTAGGTAAGCACAGGGACCAGGGTTTGATCCCTGGCACCAAATGCTGTGGCAGCCCCGCCCCTGGGCACTGAATCTGGGCTCCTGAGTCTGGGCGTGGTGGCGTACACCTATAAAATCCCAGCACTGGGGAGGCTGAAATCAGAAGGCTCACTATGAGTCTGAGCTGCCTAGTTCATACTCATAGTGAGTCTGGTTCACAAAAAAAAAAAAGGAAAAAAGAGCTGGGTGAGGTGGCACACCGTCAAGCTAGTACTCGGGAGGCTAAGGTAAGAGGATTGCCACAAGTTTGAGGCAAACCTGGGCTAAATAGTGAGTTTAAGGCCCCCTGGACTCCACATGAAGACCCTGTATCAAACCAACAAACAGAAATGTAGCAAGTGTTCCATAAAGTCTTATACAATTTTGTTAATAAAACATCTGGAGGCCTGGGAGATAGCCCAGTGGCCATCTGGCAAGCACAAGCACAAGGTCCTGAGTTCAATTCCTGGTACAACAACTAAAAAATAAAATGACCTAACTCGTTAAAGGAAACGATAACATGTATTCATAAAATATATATTATAAGCCTTTAAAAATAACGTAATTGAACAATACTTAGTGACAGGGAAATGCTAATAATTGAAAAAAGTAGGACATAAAGTTTATGTATGCTATGATCTTAATTTTATTTTAATATATATATATATATATATATATATATATGGGTTTAGTTCAGTGGTTGAGTAAGTTTGCCTAGCACACACAAGGTCCTGGGTTTATTCCCAAACACTAGAAAAACAAAAAACAAGACAGGTATTATAATTTCATGGTTATCTATGGATGGTATGGGTTATAGGTGATATTCTTTTATGTTTTTTATTTTTATAAATTATACATTGTTATAGGGAAAACAATACTTTTTTTCTTTTTTTAAGAAAAGCAACCCTTTAAAAAATCTACTTGGCCCTCTTTTGCTGCTTCTGATATTAAACTTAGTTGTTTAAAAATAAATACTGCAGGAAAAAAAAAAACCTCAAAAAAAAAAAAACTTTCCAGGGCTGGGGAGATAGCTCAGTAGAATAAAGCACCTGCCTGGCAAACACAGGATCCTGAGTTCAATCCCTGGTACCGCAAAAAAATAAATAAATAAAAATAAAAATACTGCAGATCAGCCAGATAGCTCAGTGGACTAAAGAACCTTCAGGGAACCGGGTCTGATTCCCAGGCTGCCCCGCCGGCCCCGCCCCCTGGGCAGCTGAGATGGGCGTGGTGGCACATGCCTGGAATCCCAGCCCTTGAGAGGCTGAAAACAGGAGGATCACTACGAGTCTGATCTGTGCAGTGAGACCCTGTAGACCCTGTACTAAAGGCATAAAAAATAAAATAAAATAATGAATACTGTTTGAGTCCAGGTCGAAATTCTACATGTCAGAATTACTTGCAGACAGTTCCTTTAGTAAATTAGTCTTCAATAGCATTATAGGTGGTACGGTTTCAATTGCAACTGTTTCAATATTCTCAAACCACCATGAGATAGCAACTTGTCTCCACCAACCCAGAGAAACAAGAGAAAATATATTTTCAAGAATCACTGACAAGGGCCGGGGAGATGGCTCAGTAGAATAAGCACTTGCCTGGCAAGCACAAGGGCCTAAGTTCCATCCCTGGTTCCACCAAAAAATAAAAAAAGAATCAGTGACAAGGGCCAGGGAGATGGCTCAGTGGAATAAGCACTTCCCTGGCAAGCACAAGGGCCTGCGTTCAATCCCTGGTTCTGAAAAAAAAAAAAAAAAAAAGAATCAGTGACAGTGGGCTGGGGATGTGGCTCAGTGGTAGAGCTCTTGCCTTGCATGCATAAGGCCCTGGGATCGATCTCCAGCACCACAAAAATAATCAAACAAAAAATCAGTGACAGGACCTGAACTCTGTGGCTCCCAGAAGCCTAAGCAAAATGAACACATGAAAATGAGAATCATTACTTACTGTTGCCTAAAGGGAGCTCAGGACTCTGTAAGACTTGAGTTATGGATCCCCTAGGTAAGACAGATCTGAGATTGAAACACTTGACCCAAAGGTGAAGAAGTATACTGTGTGTTTAGTGGTTGAAGTATAAACTTATGACGAGGCTTTTCAAGGGGAAGCAAAAGATTGGAAGTCCTTCCTCTGGCAGGTGGCCTTTATGAGAAAGTGTGAAAGTCAATCTTGATTTAGTCATGGGGTGAAACAGAGGTGAGAGTCACACAAGGCCTCTGGATGTCTAATGTGGTTCAAGTTTGGTTACCTACTTTAGAGACTGCTATTTATGGTAAGAATTCAATGTGACCATGAATGATTTATAAAGATGGTATTACACTTTAGAACTGTTTGGTTTTTTTAAAATCTATTTTAAACAACCTGAACACAATTTGCCTTGTACTGGAAGGCCAATTATTTCATATTGTTCTCTGGCATTCTAAAAAGTTCTCAATTCTACCTCATACCCCTTCTTTCCTCTCCTTCCCCCACCTGTAACAGCAATTTTGAAGCAAATTCATGTGGGTGGTTTCCATGGCACAGGACAACTACTTTCAAAGAGAGGACACTTCAGCCTGAGCTAATTGGGCATGATGTGTTCCAGTGCTCCGTGTGTAAATACAGATGCCCTAATATGCAGGTATTTCAGCATTGATCAGGCATGTTAGAAAAGGGAAACACAGTCTCATTATCTGAGTGACAAATGCAATAGAAGAGGAGGATGGGCACCAATATCTTCAGGGAACTGGTTCATTTGAATCAAATTATACCCAACCTCTTAACTGTTATGTTTGTATTGACAGGACCAAGAAGAACAAGCTTACTTTGCAGTGTTTGATGGCCATGGGGGAGTGGATGCCGCCATCTATGCTTCCATTCACTTACATGTTAACTTAGTACGCCAGGAGATGTTCCCCCATGATCCCGCTGAGGCTCTGTGCCGGGCCTTCCGGGTCACTGATGAGCGCTTTGTGCAGAAGGCAGCCAGAGAGGTAGGCCACTTTTTCTTCCATTCTGGCTGTAGGTGCAGTAGCGGGGTTCACCTGGCTCTAATGTAGCTGAAAGGATCTTTTGAACCTTTTTCTTTCTGGGCAGGCATTATCCAAACTGTTCTCTCTTTTTTTTTTTTTACCCAGAGTGTTGGATTCTATTATAGTTCTAAATCTAATTCCCTCTTCAGGAATTGTTGTAGAGGGGTACAATGATGTACCATATAGGCACTCAGAAGCTATGATTTTCTAGATTCATTTATATAATCACTGCTGGGTTTGGAAGGTGAGTTTTATCTTTCTTTTATTCCTTATTGCTTGTCAGGTTCACAGCAGGACCGTGTCTCTGAGTACCTCTTGCTGACAAGATCTGGATATAGTGAATATAAAACAAAAACAATGGTTTTAAAAAAGAAACAGAAACTGGGATTACTTCCATACATTTGGTTCTAAATGGGTAGGCAGTGTTTGCTCTGTGTCTCTTGAGGGAAAATTTCCTTGGGGAGGGTAAATCCTTAGATGATCCCTGATTTTTCACTTAACAGGAAGAAAAGGAAGAACTCATATTAGATTGCAAAGGTTAATCAGATCTAAGTGGTTTTACTCTGAATGAAATTCAGGGGCCCTGTAATAAGATCTAAAACTTAAAAAAAAATTCACTATCATTCTGGGCATTGGCATATACTGGATTTTTAACTGAAGACAATAGAAAAAAATTTTAATTTCTAAAAGTACAAAATTAGATAGAAAAAAATAATACTGCTACATGGCTTTAAAATGTAGTTGGAGGGTTGAGGATATGGCTCAGTGGCACAGCACCTGACTGGCAATCGAGAAATCTTGAGTTTGATTCCTGGTGCCAATAAATAAATAAATAGACAGATCTGGGTAATTACTTAATCCATTTCTTTGATGGATTAGCAGTAGGAAGGCTCAGAATTAATGAAACAGTTATTCAAAAGTATTTGGTACTGAGAGAAATATTATGTTATCTGTACTCCAACCCCAACGTTAGCTTAATATTCTTTAAGTTAACCACTACATATTGAAGTGGGGTTAGAAAATAAAATACAACTCTTGACTCGAGACCCTTGCAATCTCTTGAGCATCAGTATTCCACTTGGATCTCTTTCTTGAAGCTGCTAGCTCTCAAGTTCTAACCCGAGGGCCCCTGAATCACCACTGTGAAAGGGAATCATTTTTTTCATCCTGTAGTTTATTCCTATTCCTTTGTCTCCTCACAATTGTGGCTCATGTGTTTTGTCAGGGTCTTGGTGTCTCTCAGTTCTGCCAACAGTTCCCTTCAATAATTCAGGTTTGTCTCAGCAGTCACTTTGCTCCTTCTTGTGCTTCCGTGTGCTGCTAACTGCTGGGGAAAAGAAGCTATTCCTGTTGGGAAGCAGCCCTGCCTCCTGTTCTCCAGGGCATATGCACTGCAGTGTCTTTATCGTGTGTTCCAGAGGGCTGAGTTTTTGAAAATTCTGTGTGGGAAGATATTTTATTGGTGGGTGAAGATTTATAACAAACTTTCCCTATATAGGGAATGAGAAGTTGTTTTTCTTATTGGATACAAGAGGCCCTTTACCACCCCTGATGCACTGGTTCTAATTTAGGCCAGGTCCTTAGTAACAGAAAGTCATGCTCATTTGGTGGTGACTCATGTCAAATAGAGATGTCATTTCAGCATAGTATGATCAAGAGCTTTAAGTACTGTGATAGCTATTGCAGTGAAATTCCAGGATGTTAGTTATTTATGCAATGTTCCAAAAGCAAAGATTTCTAAAAATATTGTAGGGAATGTATTATTATTTTTAAAGATATAAGCATCTTAGAACTTCCAGAAATGTATGCTATCTCTTGACCTCTTATCTTGGGAACTTTTGTTATATACCAGGTAAATATTTTGTATATTATTTTGTATGTTTAGGACATCTCACTGAACACAGCAGGTCAGTAATGAAACAGAGACTAGAATGTGAAAATCTTTAAGGATTGAGTTATTGGATTTAGCAATGACATGAAAGGCAACAGAATTTTGGTTCTATTTTGTATAATCAGTTACTTGCCCTAAGGCAAGTCATATAACCTGCCAGATTTTAAATTCTGTATTTAAAATGGAATAATCATCCCTGTCATATATCACAGATCAGATGGATTTATGTACATACATATAAGGCTATGCTGAGAAACACAAAATTGCTACTTGTGAAACTGTGTTCACATGAAATATGATAAAAATGCAGTGAGTAAATATTAAAGTTTTTAAAAATTATAAACAGTAGATTGGGTGTGGTGGCTTATGCCTGTAATCCCAGCACTGAAGAGGCTGAGCCAGGAGGATCACTCTGGGTTCAAAACCAGCCAGGGCTACCTAGCAAAACCGTCCCCAAAACAATTAATCAAACGACAGCAGCACACACTACTCTTAACTCCCCTCAAGTGCTACCTCCCAGCCCCTGGCTTGAAATGCATTTATCCCATCATTTCTGCCATTTCTACAGTAGTTCTGGAAGTTTTCTTTTATGTATGTCCTTAGTTGTTTTGCTGTGGCTGCCTCAATGTCCTAAGACTTGATTCAAAATGTTTATCTTTCATGGTCATTTTGACATTGGGAAAGAACCAAAAGTTAGATGGCACCAGATCTGGTGAATAAGGTGGGTGAGGACACACAGTAATGTTCTATAAACCTGCTTTGTTCTTGGATAGCTCGCCACAGCAGCCTTCACCATAAAGATACTCACAAAAGAGGACCTCCTCAGCTGCTTCAGAAAGTGGAAGAATGCTGGGATGTTTCTGAAGCATGGGGGAATTTTTTTGTGGGGGGCAGTTAGCGGCCATGTGTCTTCTATTGTAAACTCAAAAATGCAAATGTTCACCATATATTTTGATCACACCTTATATAGTCTGTGTCCCAAATGAAAAGCACCTATTACAAATGGCTTCTCAATGAGATTTTGCTGTCTAGTTACTTTTTCTTTTTTTTTAACATTTATTTAGTGTGTGTGTGTGTGTGTGTGTGTGTGTGTGTGTGTGTGTGTCCAGCTCAGCCCACCAGGGGGCGAGGCTGGCTGGCATGTGGTGCTGGGGGATCGAACTGTGGTCCCTGTGCTTTGCCAAGCTTGTTCCATGTAGGTGCTTTAGACCACTGAGCCATCTCGCCAGCCCCTGTCTAGTTACTTTCATTCACCCTGATATTACTTGAACTATTTTCAGAGCTTAAGATGCGGGACCACAGGAGTAGTGACTTTTATCCGAGGCAACATGCTACACGTGGCCTGGGTGGGCGATTCTCAAGTTATGCTCGTGAGAAAGGGCCAAGCTGTTGAATTAATGAAACCACACAAACCAGACAGAGAGGTAAGTATGGTGTTTTTTTTGTTTTTTTTCCTATTAAACACGTCTAAAGGAAGCTTTCTAGTTGATTACTTAGGATTCAATTATTGCCATTAATCTCAGCAACTGTGCTCACCTTCCAAAGAAATAATACAGAGAACCTTTTTGGGAAGCTGATGAGTATTTTATCTGTTGTTGTTAATTGCTAAAGTAGAATGAATCTTGAATCCAGTTATTTGCTTCTTTTTATTGCATCGCTGTTTAGGATGAAAAGCAGCGAATTGAGGCCCTTGGAGGTTGTGTAGTCTGGTTTGGTGCCTGGAGGGTCAATGGAAGTCTGTCAGTCTCCAGAGCTATAGGTAGGAAAAACAAATTAATTTTGTTTCTCCAAACTGTATTCTTCTAAAACACACTGTCTCACATTAACTCTGAAACATAGGAACCTAAGACAATGAGTTATAGTATCAGAATGTTTATATGTTTCAAACTGAATAATGCCTTTTTACTTATTTAATGATACTTATTTATACACTTAAATTCCATTATACAAGGAGCCATAACAAGAAATGCCAAGTTTACTAGTTCATATATACTTTTTTAAATACTTTTTTTTAGAAGTTTTTAATTATTAGTATACAAATCTCCTTAAACCATAACAATCCTCATTTCATCACATTTTTGGTGGTATTTGACTTGAATTACTATTTTCCAGAGAATGGAAAGTTCTCATATTTTTCCATAGTTTAAAAAATCTTTATATAATTTAAATGAGTTTCAAAAATGATGTAAATAACAAAATTCATAGGGATCACTGTACTTTTTAATATGGAAACTTTTTCAGAAGTAGACTACAATAATTGGTCAGATAACTGGGGCTTTAAAGAACCAGTTTTCTTAGGATTTAAAATTTTCAAAAGAAAGTGAAAGTAAAACTATCTAAAACAGAGATTAAATAGTTGTTTGGAAAAATGCAAGGTGTAGGTTTAAAGAATGGAGCTATTTGTTTTTGGCTTGCTTTGGGGTCTGGGTGTTTATTTTATGTTTTGTTATTTGCCTTTACTTTCTGGTTTTTAAAAGAATAAAGCAATGTCTGTCTTCATAAGTGATATGAACGTGTACGTAATTCTTATTCTTTGCCTCCCTGAAGAAATGGAGTAATGGACCTAGGGTTAGCATGGATAAGAGTTCACATCTAATGTCCAAATTTAGTTTATTATTACCAAAAAATTCTGTAACAGTAAGAAAATCTTTTGAAAAGACTGATTTTCTGTCCCTACTGATCTGAGTTCTTCCCACTCTTTGGGGAGGTGCTGGCAAGCTGTGAAGTGGCCCAAATATGAGCAGTAGAAGGCCCAAAGAGAGACAGCTAAGCGAATCCACATACACCTCTTAAAGAACTGATAGCTTTACCTTACACTGAGGGCATTAACAGGAACTCTGGAATAGGGCCAAAGAGGGGGAATTTCTCATTTCTAAAACATATTCCTATATAGAATTATTTTTGACAACTCTAACTGAAGACCTCCTTTTCTTGATCTCACCTCTGTCAGAAGACAGGCTTACCTTTAATGCTTGTTTTAGAACAGAAACTTACTAGAGGATACCTCTTTTCTTGGTTCTAAAAATAGAACGCAAGGTGAAACTAAAGCAGAATGTCCTTGCAAAAGTCAAACTAAGAATAAGGTTAGCTGCGTATAAAGGAAGTGGCTTTTGAGGAAAGGAAATCCCAGTTACATAAAGGAATATAAATACATGGGAGTTGGAAAGGCTGCGGCATGTTAGGAATAGTGACAGAGGAAGCTAGAGTGAGCGTGAACGCTAGACTAACAGTGCTTGTACCAGCCTGTGAAAGCTTTCACATTCGAGGCTAAGTTGGCTGGACTTTACCATGTAAATAGGCAGAAGAGCCACAGTCAGGTTGTATTTAGAGATACTTGGAGATACAGCACAGAAGGTGGGCTAGACTACAAAGCACCCAGTTGAGAGATCATTCAGGAGGCTGGGAATATGGGAATGGATAAAGAGGGATCTGGAAGAGGGTATAACTGATGAGACAGAAAGGTTTGTAGGAAAGGAGAAAGCAAACTTCCAGGTTTTTGACCTGTCACTGGAAAGATAAAACATGTGTAATAAAGCAGTAGCAGTTTGGGGTGGGGAGGACAGATAATGAATTGTTGGGACACATTTTATATTCTGGGTATCTATGGGATGACCTGGAAGAGAATGTGTAGTTGGAAATACAGACCTGGAGCTTAGCTCAGAGTTCTAGGTTGGAGACAGAGGTTTGAGAACTCACTCTGTCTTGGCAATGTTGCTAGCTGACTATGAAGCAAAAACACAGGCATAGGTTATGTGTGTTTTGTGAAAGTGCCACTGGCTCATTACTTTAGGGAGAATACTACTGTGGACAGACTGGGATTTATACTTGACAAGCGGCAGGCCTTAGTAAATTTACTTCACTTCTCAGTGTCTACTTGTTCCTTTGTGGCGTAATCACAGCACCTCACTTTATAGTAAGTGGTATATAGCACGCATCATACATACAGCCATATCCAGCACATTCTTAGCACACAATGTTACTAAGTGAATTATTTAAGCAAAGAAAATCAAGAAACAATTAGAGGTTGGGAAGCGGGACATTATGCTCATAGAAAGGCTTTATAGGAGCAAAGAGCCAACAGTGTTCAGTGCTCCAGAGGACAAGAGAGTAAAGAGTGTAAAAGACCATAGAATTTAAATATTAGGAAATAATTGACGATACTAGAAATATCTTTTAATGGATAAATAAAATACATTAGTGTTTTATTTAAGAGGCAATTTGTCTTGGAAATTTTTCAGTACAAGTGAAGATAACCAAATATTTCAAGAACTTTTTTTTTCTTTCATTTTATGAATTTGGTACAGGGAAATATTTTAGATTGAGAGGTTTGAAAACCTACTAATTAGGTTATAGAAAACAACAAGGTGAAGAAGAAGGCAGGAACCCAGGAACAAACATAGATTGACTTTCCTGGGCAGTCTGATTGTGAAAGGGAGAAAGGAAATAGTGTGATGACTTGAGGAAAAAGATGATTTTGGAAAAGGTTGCTTTCACTGCTTCTGTGTTCAGTATGAGGAAATTTTAGATGAGTGTGTTTATAGGAAAAAGACAGTGATTAGAGGGAAAACTGAAAATGAGAGCATAGCTGAGAAGTAGGAAGACCGACAGCACAGGGTGGCTTTAAAAAAGGAAGAGACACTTCTGACTTGGGAAAATGGCAGTGGATTTGGTGAATCTCCATACATAAAAATGAAAATAAATTGAGGGCAGTGTAAGAATGAAGGACATTCAATAAATGATAAAGCTTTGCAGATGAAAAGCTTTTTGATTGTTTCTCTGCATAAGCCCTTCAGATTCATGATCCAAAGTTGACAGAGCATAATGTTTCCTGGCATATGGAGAGAGGAGGCTGAAGACACAAGGATGTTGCCATTTCTACCATGAAATGGATATTCATGCCCTCCTACCAAATTTGGGGGCGAAATGTCATGAATTTGACACCAACAGCAGAGCAGGTGAAAAGCCAGAATTTTGGCAGCATTTTCTCTGTGCAAATCTTAGTATGTTCTGTTCCAAACTAACAGTTGCAGTAGTCTTTTAATTGTAGCACTAAAACAAGACTTTTGGGAACAGTATGACTCAGATCACATTTATTTTTAGAGGTGGAATTAAACCAATAATGACAATTCAGTCAGGTAGAGTAGGGGAAGTTAAGTGGATTGGTGGAGGATACAGTCCCATGATTGGAAGTTTTAATTAGCTCTAACAGGGTACTGGGAGGCATCATAGTAAAGAAGTGAACTTCATGAGATCAGGACCATGCTTGAGGAAGACGGTTTTGACGGTTATAAGAAACCGTGCATGAATGAAAGACAGCCTAGCTAAGTAGAGGATGGAGCAGAGTTACACATTTGAGAATAGGAGTAGAGCTGAAGACTTAAAGGGTCACAAGACTACTATCTTGAACCTTACCGACACTAACATAACTCATTCTATTGAGGAACTGTTTTGTTTTTAAGATAAGGTCTCACTATGCAGTTCTGGGTGGCCTTGAAGTCACTATGTAGCTTAGGCCAGCCTTGAACTCACAGAGATCCTCCTGTCCCAGCCTCCCAAGTATGAGGATTACAGGTGTGAACCATCATACCTCATGTTTTGGTTTTTTGTTTTTTTTTTGGTCTTTTCTGATAAACAGTCACAACAACCTGCTGCACAGGTAGCTCATGTTGCCCACATTGGTTCTAGAGAGTGATCCTTGGGGGTCCTGTTGAACCTTCCAGGCTTGAGAATTAAATGGGTGTGAAATATTGGAAAAAATTCTTTCTTGGGCAAAAGAGAACCTAGAACAGGTAACAGAAACAATGACTGTATAGCCGTGTAACTTAAATTAGTTTATCTTCCTCTTATCTTCTCCTAGTCAAAAAATTCTTTTTAGTGCAATGAAAAGGACAATACCTAATAACAGTTGTACAGGTAACAAGGTAGGATTTAGAGGTCACAGCAGTGCCAGTGTCCTTAACCACTACCAGCTAGGTTCTCTTCAGATACTTAAAGGAAAATTATGAAAACAAACAATGAATATACTCCGTAGTGTTCGGGATCTGAAAGTTCCAAAGGCACTGCAGGTGATTGATTATCTCAGCAGTTGGTGACAGAAACCTACCTCAGCGTGGGCCTGGTCTCCAGTTTGTATTATACACCACTCCCTAACAGGAGCCTCTTTTATGCTGAAGGACCTCTCCCTGGGGATAACTTAATACTTCAAAACCCAACTCAAATGTGATTCTGTTAGCAAATGAACTAAGCAAGAAGAGAAAGGCCTGGGAGGGCCTTGGGTGTTCTCACAGTTGTTAATAAGTGAGTGGATAAACTGTAAGGATAGAAGGGGGCATTAATCAGAGACATAGGAAGAAATCAAGAGCATGGCCATAGTTTCTAAAGACAAGAAAAAAATGGTCATATATCTTTTGTCTCTAGAAGTTAAAATAAAGCAGCATTTAAAAAAAAAGCCAAGATTAGGGCCCAAGAGACCTGCATTTTAATTCCCTACACAAAGCCCTGGATAAACGACTGGGGTTTTCTGGGCCTGAGGGACTTGCACTCATACTTTAAAATCCTTAGTAATGTAAACCTTTCTCTGTGCTTGCACTATGAAGCTACTTACTGATTTCTATTTTTTTTTTATTGAGAAATAAATATGAATGAGTGCTTACTGATTTCTAAATAAAGATAGAACAAAAATGGTTTAATGAAGAGAATGATCAGAACTTTTTTAAAAGTGGATTTGTACTCATTTCAGTTAAATGTAACCACTATATAGGGCTGAATTTTTAGTGTACAGCAACAATTTTTTTTTTCCCCAGAACCGGGGATTGAACTCAGGTCCTTGCACTTGCCAGGCAAGCGCTATCTCTATTCCACTGAGCTATCTCCCTGGCCCTGCATCAAATTTAGATTGACCCTACTTGTGATATTCAGAAAAGCCTAAATGATAGCCAGAGGCACAAGCTTCAGAGTATATGCTAGACAAAGAACTTACCCAAAAGACTAGAAATTATTTAACTGGAATTAAGACACAACAGCTGCTTAGCAAAGAAAGTAAAAATTTAAATCTGAAATTATAATCAGAGTCATGACATTGGCTATAAACTCTTCCTGCCTCAGCTTCTCAGTGTTAGGATTATAAGTTTGTATCACCATGCCAGGCTTGGCATAAGCATTCTAAGCATTCATGTGAAGTTTCCTTTATCTCTCTACTTTCCGATTTCCACAGGAGATGCTGAACATAAGCCATACATCTGTGGGGATGCAGACTCTGCCTCCACTGTTTTGGATGGGACAGAAGACTACCTCATTCTGGCCTGTGATGGCTTCTACGATACCGTGAACCCTGATGAGGCAGTGAAAGTTGTATCTGACCACTTGAAAGAGAACAATGGAGACAGCAGCATGGTCGCCCACAAATTAGTGGCATCAGCTCGTGATGCTGGGTCAAGTGATAACATCACTGTTATTGTGGTATTCCTGAGGGACATGAACAAAGCTGTAAATGTTAGTGAGGAATCAGATTGGACAGAGAACTCTTTTCAAGGAGGGCAAGAAGATGGTGGGGAGGATAAGGAGAATCATGGAGAATGCAAACGCCCTTGGCCTCAGCACCAGTGTTCAGCACCAGCCGATCTAGGCTATGATGGGCGTGTGGATTCATTCACTGATAGAACCAGCCTCAGCCCAGGGTCCCAAATCAACGTGCTGGAAGACCCAGGCTACTTAGATCTCACACAATTAGAAGAAAGCAAACCTCACAGTGCCCAGGTTTTGCCACCAGTTGAAATGTTTGGTCCTGGTGCACCAAAGAAAGCCAATCTTAATAATGAGCTAATGATGGAGGAAAAATCTGTTCAATCATCATTGCCTGAACGGAGTGGTGCTGAAGAGTTTTCTGCTTCTTTTAATTTGGGTTCCACAGGGCAGCAGATATATAGAATGGAGACTTTGTCTCCTGTCTGTTATGGGTTGAAAAACGAACAGTCCAAATCCCTGGGAAAAAGAGTTTCTAGATTGTATCATTCACACCATTACTACTCTAAGAGGCGGCAAAAATTTTATTCATTTCTCTCCGCTAAAGAGCCTTCCCACAAAATAGGCTTTAGTCTGACCTCACTTATTCGAAGTGGGAAGAAAAATAGGGTGGTAAGAAGTTCTGTCCCATGGAGGGAAAATAGTTGGAAATGGTACAATGAAAATGCAATGAAGAAGGCCAGAAAAAGTAATGATATTCCATGCCCAGATGTTTTCAGGAGCTGTAAAATATAATACTTTTTCATTAAAGTAGGCTAGCTAGCTCTCCCCCAATTAAAAATACCACTATCAGAGTAGAAACAAGGTAGACATTTCTAAAACACATGTGCTTCATTATGAATCCATGGATGGCTCAATTCTTAAATGTAAATAGATCTCTAGGAAACTCAAAATAGTGTTTCAAAAAAAAAAAAAAAAAAAAGTATTGGCGGTTTCACTAGCAAAACTATAGAACTGGTCCCTGTGATGTGTCTCTAAACCTGCCCCTCTACCCCTACTCGCCATCCCTCACGTCACTAGTGGAAGCTTGAAGTTATTTCAGTCAGGACATAAAGTGTTGAAATCTGGTCTGATGTGCCTCATATCTATGAAAAAGTCAATGCAGAATTTGGTTGGGAAACCTCTCTCAAGATTTTAGGGTCTGTGAAAGATCCCTCTCCCCACTTTTGGGTAGGTAAAAGACTAAAAGCCATATGGGTTTTAACAGGTAACAATGGAAGTAGAAAGCTAATGTAGAGGTGTCATAATCTCAGACTTGTGAGGCAGGATATAGTCAAAATTTACTGATTTTTTTTTCCTGTAACATAAGACTGAACAATTTTTGATTTAAAAATATTTCCTAGGGCTGTAGTTATTTGGGAGTTTCATACCTGTCATGGTGCTTTTGGTGGAATTTTTATTATTTGTCATTTTAGAGTATCACTGTTTTAATCTATAATGCTAACGTGTTTTTCACTGTACCTTCATCTCAGGAAAACTGGTTTAATAGAGATGATGTCAGGTACAAATATACAAGTATCAAAATGCCATTTATAAAAGAAAGTTAAATAGTATTTGTATATTTTCTACCTTTTTTAAGTTCAGAGACAGCATGGGCATATACAACTGTAACATAAAAAGTGGTTTTGGAGAATTAAAAATGCTAGCTAGCTTCAACTTCTTTAAAATTGTTTTCCCCAAGGGAATGGAATAATTGGCATGATGGAGACTAAAAATACTGCCTCAAGGGAACCCAAAGGCCAAGTGCAAAGGAGAAGGCAGAGTACCAAACGCCGGGTTTGCTCAGTTGTAATTGGAAGACAAGCCAGAGTCCTGCTACAGACAAATTCAGACTGTAGAAGCAGGACATGTACTTAGTTCATATTTAGTTATACTTCATAGTTTAAAATCATCTTATTGATGGTATTTCTGCCATTTCAAGCCAGAAGCATATCTTCAACTAAAGACAGCAAATAAACTATCATTCAGTGAAGCAGCCTCGATTCTGAGAATCATGAATGTCTCCACGTCACCCTTCCCTGGCCGACCGTGGCCCAGCCAAGCCAGTGGACACAGGTGGCCCGCTGCACTGATCACTCAGCGCTCTTGCTGACAGATGCCCACTGCCTAGTCATGTTTTTACATGATAGTATAAGTACCTTCAGTTCCTTGGACAAAGCAGGGCTATAATTCCCGAGTTTTAAAGATAGAGATGACTGCAGTATATTACAAGTGCCAGTATAGCTATATCAAATAATTTTTAAACAAAGCTTCACTTTAGCAATGATCTGATTAATCTACATACAGATTTTATTTTTAAAAATTTGGATGTAAGTAGATTTTCAGTGTTTTTCTCCTGACTTTGAAGTCATTCTTTCCTCAAGTCCTGTGACAGAGTTGAAAGAGTAAACATGGCTCCAACTATAGTATTAGACTTTTTTCATCATTTTGATTCTTGGCCCTGTACATGGGCCTCACTCACATCTTTCATTTTCTGAAGCCTAGATCTTGCTGAAAATACTTCCGATGCAGTGTCAGTTTCAAATCAAGTTATCTAAGGAAACAAGAAAACAAAGGCAGCAGAATATTGGTACACATTAGTTCAAAACACTTAGCTAAGTAAGAAAACTAAATTTTCTGTAGTTGTCTGTTGGTAATGCTTTTGATCAGAATAAAGGTGAAAGGAAGGAAGATGCAAGTGATAAATTTTTTCAGTAGGGGAAAAATGTTGGACGAAACTGGGACAAACACAGACCCATTTCTAAGGGTATGGGATGTGTAGATCTGATTATACAGCAGTGTTAACTCCATGTTTCATACTATTACCTCTCTAGAAAATGAAGTAGTTCTCTCAATATTGTAAAAAAAAAATAGCAACATTTGTTCACAACATGCATATTTGTAGGGTAGTTAGGTACCATTTGTAAGGTAAGTCCTTTAAAATTCTAGAATATTAAAGTAGTGGTCACTGGTCTGATATATGCTGCTCTTGGTTCTATAAACTAGATAAAAAGCAGTGCTTTGTGAAATGCAGTGTTATATCTTAATGCCACTGGTGATAGAAAGTAGTTCCCTTCCGTTCAAATCCTGTGCCCTTAATTTGCTGCTTGCTGAAGTAAGCAATAAGTAACCCTTTAACTAATGGTATCTACATATTATTGTAACTTGTATTTAATGATGGTGTATCTGGTGATTGTAAAAATAGACAGATATAAAAGTATATATTATATATTAACTGTTAATGCTGAGGTATAGTCTGTGAATTACGTGTTTCGTACTTTTACTCATTGTGTAATTTAGTGGTGGTGAAAGTTCTACACTCAATCCTTGAAGAGTGGCAGTATCCCTTTATCAATTTAACATGATCTGCATCAATTTGTTTGCCTGCTAACCAAGTTTTGTTAGAATAGGAAATAGTAAAATATAAACAAGAAAGTGTAGCATTGAGTAGGGAAACAGACTTCAAGTCACCAAATGAAGTTATTACAAACTCCTTGTACATTCACTGTGAGTTTCAAAGGGAGTCCGTCCCTAACAAAGGTTTCCTTTTTCACTTTCTAGATGTGTACTTTTGAGGGCCACATCTGAGGTTAGGCAACATTACAGAACCAAATACTGGGGCTATTAATCCCATGAGGTCTGTACTGCAGAGGACAGGTAGAAACGTGTGTATATACCTTTGCTTTACCTAGAAGTGCCATCCATTGTCCTTGAAGAATACAATTAAAGTTCCTGTTGCATTTAACTAGGAGACTCCTTGAAGGTAAATCTTTTCCAAGGACAGTGTCAACAATGTCAATGTCAACACTAAGTCAAATCTGACCATATTTATAGTGGTATAGTATCAACACTGCATTTTCAGGACAATCACACTCCATTGCTGGAACACTGTGCCAGTAAGAAGTGCAACATCAATGGGCAGATGAAAATGACGCATGAGGAGTTCTGTGTTTATAAACAAAACTGCTGTGGTTCAAGTACTTCCGCATCAAAGGCTTGGTGAGGTGGTGAGAAAATGATCTAAATTTTTTAAACAATTTATTCATTCAATGATCATTCTCATGTAAGCAAGGCCATAAAAGGGGATACTATAAATTTTGTTCAACCTTATTAAGTTCAGATGATTTTTGAGTCATAAATTTGCAAAAACAAAACAAGAATGTTTTCACCTTTGACAAACCATGCACTGTTAGAAGTACCCACTCTTCTGTTCTGACCTGTGAAAAAATTGTTTTTTTCAAAACAAAATGATCACCAGTATTATATCATAAACATCTTTCAAACAAAGGGCACAATATTAAGGAATAATTGATACTTCCTCCAGCAGCATTTTATCTATTTTAATGTCTACTGTATTAATTAGAAATTATTATATACGATAGCAGAGTCCAGACTGACACAGCAGTTGCTTATGAAAAGGCAATGTTTTGACTCTGATGTATTAGACAACCCAGATACATCACTGTAAACTTTCCAGGTGCTCTTTGGTGAGACAGGCTTTCTCTTGTTCATGATATTTCTCTGCAGTGAATTATCTATGGAGTGAAGGGAGTGAAGTGAATCATTTCTTACCAAGTAAATGTATCAATTTACAATTTACAAACACGCTCTACAGATCACCTTTGAGTTCAGTTGTAATCATATTTTATTTATTAAGCTGTTCATTCAAGTAAGGAGTATGTTGAAATTTTGCCAATATCTTAATAAAACCCAGCTATTTAAAACCAATAGCCATTTGTCCTTGTCTTTAAGAGAACACTGTTATTTACTGCTTCAAATTAGGTGGATTCTCTCAGAAAGGGAAAGGAAGAACAAATTCCCAAGAAAGATAGTTTTCTTAGCCTTATCTAGGAATTTCTGTGGGGCAGGGAAGGGTTTATGCATGCAAGGCAAGTGCTCTACCACTCCTAAAATTTTGAGCCAACTATTCAAGTTTGTCCCTTTCGGTCACTTTCCCTGTTTAGTTTGAAAAGCAAAGAGGTGAACTGTGGTTGGAAGTCTTTGGAGGACTGCTCTAGAGAGAGTAATACAAGAAAAGTGGATGTGGAGAACAGTATTGAAGACATGAAAGATGGCTGCATCTAAAGAAATGGGAGGTAAACTAGTTAAATACACTGTGTTATCTGTTCTCACCATTAAGATCTCTTAGCTTCACACAATTACAATGATTTTAAATTCCAAATTCTCTAAAATCAGCTTTTAACATGACTTCATATATAAAAAAGGACCTTTTAGTATTTAGTTCAAAATTTAGTATTTACTTTCTGAAGCAGTAGCATATGATTTAAGTGAACCAAAATCATTTGAACTTAACAAATTTAATGATAGCAAATTATTAGAAATCACTATCTTGGGCTAGGGGTG